GCCTTTACAGGCATAAAGAGACTTACATAAATAGGTATCACTTAAGTATGTTGTTATAAAATGTTTAAATTGGTTATCATCAAAGGGTTAAATTCTAAATATGTCATTGTGATATGTTTATAATGGTCATTTTCAAAATACGATGTTTTCTCTGGGAAAATAAAGTGTTATTAAAAGGTTTTATTGGAAAAGTGTTTTGATACCAAATTAGATTAAAGGGCATAAACTTTCATACACAGGATTATTGTTAATTTTCTGATGTAGAAAATGAATAGAAATGTCACAGGTTTTAAGTAACTATCGATTGTGCTTCAAGAGGAGGCTATAGAGTTTCATAAAAGAGGCTCAAATTTGTGTGCAACAACTCAGATATTTAGGATTCCAAGTTTCCAAAAAAAATACAATGCTTGGGAGATAAAAAGATGAAAGCAGCTGAGAAAATTTTGGTGATAGCAAGTTTTTACAGCATCTGGATCTAGGGTTTGCAGAAATGGCTAAAACTAACTTGACTGCTCATGTTCCCCATGCCTTTACCTCATTGGCTTTCTAATAATAGAATTTCATAGAATCAGGCCCTGATCTGTGAGAATCCCCACCTATGTTCTGTTCTAGTTAAAACCTTGAATGCTGCTCCTGTTTGCCCTTGGAACCTCCTACCCACATTCACTCCTGCCTCAGGGTCACCGACGAGTTGTTCTCCGGTTACCGGATCTGCGAAAGACCCCCTGTCTGAGGCTGATTTCCTGCTGTTCGTGGATGGGAACAGCTTCATAGAAAATGGGGTACACTATGCTGGCTATGCAGTGACAACTCAAGATGAAATGGTCCAAGTGGGACCCTCCCACCAGATGGTCAACTCAGTGAGCAGAGCTATGGGCACTCATACAGGTTCTCCATGGGCAAAAAACAACACCCCCCCAAAAAAAATACAGAGTAAAAGTTTATAGATTCCTGCTTCCTATTTTGCATATCTATGGCACAATCTACAAAGACTGGTCTTCTCACAGCAGAGGGAAAATGGATTAAATTACAGGAGAGGGCTGGGGATTTAGCTCAGTGGTTCCACCACCAGCCTTGCAAGTGCAAGGTCCCAAGTTCGATTTTTGGAACTTAACAACAACAACAACAACAAAAACTAAAAAAATAAAAAATAAAGTAAATGAATAAAAATAAAAACAAACAAGATAATGCAGTTGTTGGAGACAATGTATAAAACTGACAAAGTAACAGTAATGCATTGCTCTAGACATCAAGAAGCAAAAGATAGAATAGCAAAAGATGATGGCAAGGCAGATACAAAAGCCAAAAAAGCAACTAAACAGAAACTTCAGATGATTATACCCACCCCTTGTAAAGGTTATAAATACGTGTTGGTATGGGTTTGTACTTACTCTGGATCGCCTGAGGCCTTCCGTGTGACAACAGAGAAGGCTTCAGAGGAATGAAAGATTGTGTTAAAGGTGATAATTTCAAGATTTGGCCTGCCTGTCTCCATAGGCAATGACAGCGGGCCAGCATTTGTAGCAGAGGTTGTATAAGACCTAGCTAGACTGTTATACGTAAAATGGTACTTCTGTACTGCTTATCAGCCTCAGAGTTCTGGTAAGATTAAAGAAATAAATCGTACCATTAAGGAAATATTAACTAAATATTGTCAGACAACACCGGGGTTATGGGTCGATCTGCTCTCTTTGGCTCTCCTTAAAATAAAAAATACCCCAAGTCCTAATGGATTCTCACCATATGAGATCTTGTTTAAAAGACCTCCCTGTATCTTAAGAGACTTTATAAAAAATTATCTCATTTGGGCTTATCCAGTATGGAATGACAGCTGTTGGAACTGGGCAAAGTGTTCCAAAATATTCTAGGACAAATTAAAAATAAAAAAGATTATCCTGTGCTAACTCCTGCCCATCTGATAAAATGGGGCGACCATATTCATGTTAAAAATTGAAAAAAGACCCCTTTGCAACCTGTATAAAAAGTACTATGTGAGGCACTTAGTGTTTCTCCCGCAGTTGTCCAGGTGACTGAAGTCCACCTGTGGATTCACCACTGTACAGAGTGACATGACCGAGAGCTCCACGGACTGCATCTCCAGGGGACAGTGTACTCAAGGTCCTGCTCTCACTACACCAGGAGCTGCTCAGTCCATGCATGGCTAAAAAGTAAAGACTTCAATCAACATATTATAGGCTCTTATTGCATCAAACTGTTATAAGCTATTATGTTTTTAAATTAAGAATTTATAAGCCTGAAGATACTAAGCTTGATAAAAATATGTGACCTTTAAGCTGTTAAATGGGACTACAGGGACATCTCCTCATGCTTCTCTTTGACGCCCATCTAAAATAACTTTATGATGACCCTGGTACCATAAGTAATTGTAGGGAATATACACAAAAACATGTACTGGGTCAGATAAGGCTCAAATGTGGTTAAACAGTTCTGTTGTAATCCAAAAGTATTGGCAATTGTGGTAACTGTAAACAGGGACAATGGAAAGCTCCTAATACTCAAATAACAGTATGACCCCCCCTGGTTGCTGAGATGAGTGGACCATGTGATGACAAATCAATGATTTGATTAAGTTACTAAAACCAGAGGGCAGTGAAAGACAAAAGCACCTCCATACTGACCTGAACATGAACTTCGGGTGAATGCACATCTCCTGTGTGACCTCCACCCTAGGCTGTTAGGTGCACATCCTGCTTCTATAACCTGGCTTGCTCATATCCTATAGATTAGTCAAACAGCTCCAAGGTTAACTGTGGCGCCTTGTCTGAAATAGGTAGAACTGGGGGTGGGGGGACCCTACCTCCTCAGACCAAATGTGCCACCACCGCCTGCAGATAAATCTAGAAAAACAAGCCCAAGTTTCCATGCTTGTTCAGCCCTATAAAAACCCTGCTCTTTTGTGATTTGGGGCTCCACTCCCCTTGAGGGGGGGTCCACATGCATGAATACACTTCGCCTAGTCCTCTGGATTTTCTGTCCCCATACTGGTTATTCTCTTCTTGCTCTAGCAATCAGCGCTCTTGCATGGAGATTCGGAGATTTCCAAGCACTTGTTTGCCCAATTACATGGAGTCAAATAGTAGCTCAGCAGTGGGGAAGCCTTCACACTTTAGCCTTGTGACTTGAAATAGTTCCCAGATCACTGTGACATTTGAAATCATGCCATCATTATCACCCAGGAGTTTTCCTTTCCATATTTCACAGTAAAATGCAGGAAAAGCAATGAATTAAAACTATGTCATTTACCTCATACATGGGAGATAGATCTAAGAGTAAATAAACCTATTTCTGCACTTTCTGGAGGTCACATGAACAGTAATTTAAAGATAATGTAATTAATGCTGCTTCTCTAGTGAGTGAGAAACACATCTAGACTTGTTAGTCCTCAAAGGGATGACAGTTTTGATGCAATGTCTAGGTCATGATTTGTGTGTTTATTTCCTTAGCTGAGATGAAGCCTCCATTCAGTCATATTCAGTGCAGTCTCATTGAGCAAACAATCTACCCAAAACAGTGTCACTCATCTCACATTTGAAACACTTATTCTTCTCTTTTCATGGAGAAAAATTGGGTGTCATTTGCATAGTGAACATTGGAAGGTTTATGAACAAAATAATGGGGTTTGATTAAAAAGTATTTCGTGGTCAGTAATAACCTTAATTTTTACATAGATTATTTTTTCCTTTAACCATAATTTAAATTTTAAACTCATGTCTCTTGTATTATTTTTTTTCTTTAGAGAGAGACAGGCAATAATTTTCAGGATGGCTTTGCGCTCACTGTGCCCCTGTACTGCTTTAAAACTTAGCAATCCTCCTGCCTTAGCCTCTGAAGGACTGAAAGTACAGATATGCATCACCACTCCCAGAATATCTGGTACAAAATATTAAAGTTTCTGGTCAAGGTTTCCTATCATTTATTTCTCCCTATGTCA